CGCCGAAGACCTGGGTTCGATTCCCCATTCAGCAATGTTCCAGCTTTATGACGTGGGCCTGTCAATAATCAAACCTCGACCAGACAAACCAATGATGGATATAATGAGCAACGTACCACGCCATTTGGGTCACCGAGCCTGACCACCCGATCCATTAAGTCGCAAGGGTATCCTCACCCAGCATCCCCTGGGGTGGATGTTTAAGATGACAACATGTCACATTCATGTCTGTCACGGATGCTTACCAGCAACCAGCAAACACCCCAGCAGGAGGTAGTGGCATCTAGTTCCTGGGATGCACACACGATGCCAACTGGTATTTCTGATGTACAGTCAATTAATTTGTCAACAAATATTTGTTTGTTGTTTTCACGCGCCGCTCAGCAATATTCCAGCTATATGGAGGTGGCCTCAGAGAGAAAGCATCAGAAAATCACTGATGTCTTTTGTACTTTACAATGTCGATGAACAATATGGCCTTATCGAATTAGGAGATGCACATACTGTGTTTTCGATGAAGAGTTAGGTTACCTGTAGACTTAGCGGCGCTAAATTGAATTTGGAACCGAAAGCACTATCTCCATTTTACCTTGATAGAATTAAACGCAATTTCTTTGGTATGAGCGGAGATGGTGAGTGAAGCGACATTGTGGAGTCTAATGTTTTGAGTGGGTTCTCAATCTGAATTGAGGAAACTCCAATAATAGCCATTAAACAAAGTTTGGTGCTGTATATGCGAAAACATTGTGTGATTCATCATGATGCTTTGCTCGGTCATAACTCAGGCATTGAAAGTGTGTAGCACAGTTTCTTCGTGAGGCGACATGACGTAGACACCCCTAAAAAAACCTGAAGCAAGCCTCATTCTTATGATGTCTCACCGCTCATTGTGCCACAGAAAAGGACCAATTGTCGAGCTCTCTATTGTCCTTAAAACTTCCAGAACAGTCTCTGAGTCATTTTCTATCGTGTTTTCTGCCCAAAATGTATTGCCACACATACTTTGAATATGGTAGAGTTCGCAAAAGTGCATCTATATTAGCTTCTGGTTTAATGCGATCGGCTGTTTCAATCAGAAGTGATTATGGTGGTTTGATACCTCCGATTGACCAATCAGAATCGAGTAGTTTCCAATTAATTGCAGATTTCGGACTTTGCTTTGAAATATGGGGTTGTCTTATTGAAAATTAAACACCTCTTAAATTTAATTTGGAACCGAGCGCTCCATTCTACCATGACGTCAAGAACGGTATTCATTTTGAACGTGTAATAACACATGGGTCACATTCAAAAACAGGGTCACACGTGTACCGAGTGAAAAATGTGTCAAATTTTCACATGTTCAAGATTTATTACTTCTGTTATTAACTGTTCGAAATAATTGTTTGGAACAAATATAGCGATTAAATAACCTCCATAGATATATATATATTTAATTTCATCGCAGCCTGTTGCATTTATTGCACTTCTTGCATATATTGCATGCTTGGATTTGTAATCAACATGCCATTTCCCATTGTATACCGGAGACAGGTTGTAGAAATGGGGACACACACGCATCACTGTATTTTTTTAGAAACAACCTTTAATGAATAACCTCAGCTATTTTGAAGTTGTTGTTTTGTAGCAGATTATTCAGATTGACTATCCCGAACTTCCACCTGGCTGGGTTTCACTTGCTTCCGTTACTTTTCGCTGTCCATGGCTGGCAAAATAGTTGTTCAGAATAACGGTGCTATTTAGAATTTGTGTGAAACGAGAGGGCAGTCTGTATTGAGCCAACAGAACCGAGCGGACGAGCAGAGCCCCCGCAATATGCTCCTTTTTGTGACACAGTGGTTAGTGAATGTTTTACTTTTGGTGTTCGAAAACTTATTAAATCATGTCTGAGTGAGTGAGTGAGTGAGTGAGTGAGTGAGTTGGGTTTGACGCCGCTTTAAACATTATTCCAGTTATATCGCGGCGTGTCAGCTTAACGTGGGAGGAAAGCCCGAAGTGATGCAGGTCTCAGACGTTTACCACCTCGGTGAAACCCACGAGCACGGGTATGGTGCTGACAAACCTAGAAACATAATCGGGGTGAACCGGGATTCGAACCCACAATCATAGGTTTCTGGCGTGTCCAGGGGACGCAACTCTGCACAGCGAATGGCGGCGCCTTAGAAGACTGGCCCACCCGTGCCCCTAAAACATGTCTGATCAGCTATTGGGACCAAGTGCTTGTGCACTCTACCAGTTAGCGATAAAACATGAAATACTGTTCCAATAACAAACGCATGTTCTAATTGGCAGTTTGTTTAAAAGCATCGACACACAGGCAATCGACAGATCGATGTGGTCTCACGTACGGTTTTGTGTCGATACCTAAGTATTTAGACTAATCAGAATCAAACATTATTTCGTGGTAATATAACAATAAAACCAGCATGTTTGAAAATTAAAATGTTTAATAATTAGAACACAATTTGACCATAGAGTCATAAAGACTGGAAAACCAGAATTGCACCAACTGACCGAGGTCTAATAACAACGTAGATGCAAGTCATACATAATGTTCTCCTTATTTACGTATTGTCGTAAGCACGTGTCTCTGGACGCATGCCAGGACGTTATTAGAAATTCTCTTTCATCTGTATCGTTGTAAGACAAATACTTCCCGTGGGTTTGACAGCGGACAGTGACGTCTGGAAAAAGGGACAATGAGCACTTAAATATTGACGTGCTGTGGACACTGCACCTTGGCACGGACACTGCTTCATCAGGAATGATCTTCCGTGGACAATGACCATTTGATGTCACTGTCCAGGGACATTGCGAACTTGGATGGAGTGTCCGGGTAAATGATTCGCAGCGTAACTTATCCCCTGGATACTGAGCACATGGGACACTAACAACTACGACACCGGAATCCCCACGGGGTGTCAGCATACAGTTACAATCATAACTAATATTTGTGAATATATGAAAATATTCTTAATAATAACTTCTTAATAATAACTTCTTTTGCAAACTTCCTAAGTTTTAACTTTTGTAATTTGGGCAAATGATGAAATGGGTGTGTGTGTGTGTGTGTGTGAGAGAGAGAGAGTGTGTGTTAGTGTGTGTGTGTTAGTGTGTGTGTGTGTTAGTGTTAGTGTACGTGTGTTAGTGTTAGTGTGTGTGTGTGTGTGAGTGTGTGTGTTAGTGTGTGTGTGTGAGAACAATTGATTACAGAAGTATGAACCTTTGTCATGAAACACACACACACACACACACACACACACACACACACACACACACACACACACACACACACACACACACACACACACACTAACACACACTTAGTGTGTGTTAGTGTGTGTGTGTGTGTGTGTGTGTGTGTGTGTGTGTGTGTTTCATGACAAAGGTTCATACTTCTGTAATCAATTGTTCTCATGTAAAAACGTCTTCACGTCGGTCAATATGTTCTTACTTGCTGTCATTGATGGCGTTTTTCGTCGTGTTTTACCAATTACGTCTCTAAGACAACTGGTTAGGTCTGCAGTATCATGCCACGGTAGGTATTGAACACAAGAAGAATAAATACCGCTACAGGCATCATGGAGTACGTGACCTGGTGACTTTTAAGTGCATTGCGTCGCGATTAAAACCTAATGTGTTGGACATGGCGTGGGCATAGCGTGTGGTGCTGTAATATTACTGTACACGAATCACATAATTCACGTGTATTTAACATAAACGTCGGATGACACTCTAGTTCATATAGTCGGAAATACATCAGTTATTGTGCCCGCCCAAAGTTGTACGTCGCTGTTTTACCTCAGTCATGAGATTGATGAGGGTTAAAACTACACACCACTGAAAAAACTTTGTTGACGAGAATGCCTGCATTATAATCAGTAGGCAATATCTTATCAACAGAAAATATAAACAACCGTCATGATAACATACTTGGCTCTCACAAGAAATAAAGTTAATACAAAGCGTGACCCGTGAAGATTCCGGGGTAGAATAGGTCTTCAGCAACCCATATTTGCCGTAAAAGGCGACTACGCTTGTCGTAAAAGGCGAGTAAGGGGATCGGGTGGTTAGGCTGGCTGAGTTGGTTGATACATGTCATCGATCCAAATTGCATGGATCGATGCTTATGATGTCAACCACTGGATTGTCTGGTCCTGACTCGATTATTTACAGACCGCCGTCATATAGCTGGAATATTGCTGAGTGCGGCGGTTAACAACAAACAAACAAACATAACACAAAGTGTAAGCGACAGACCGAGGACCCTCCATCCAGGATGCCATGGCCGTTACAGGGAAGACACCGGGTGTTTACAAGGCAGGGAGGGTCAGCCCTTACCCATGTTTCCCATAGAGAAATGATAACAGTTACCACAGAGATCGTCAATGTGGTTATTTCGCTTGACTTGAGTGTGTGCTTGGGTTCAACGCGGCTTTGACCAGAATATCAGTACAGTCAGTAACGTCTCAGCTGGACATGGGAGGAAAACCCGAAGTAATCTAGGCCCATTTTGGAAACCGGCGAGTACAAAACTCACAAACTCCGAAAAATATTCAAGGCCAATCTGAGTTTCGAGCCGGCGATCACAGCTTTCTGGAGCTCAACGCTCCACGGCGAATTGTGGCGCCTCAGACAACTTGGCTATCAGTCGAAGCATGAATGGTGGTACATAACGGTATATAACGAGTGTGTATTGAGTGTGTTTTAAGGGAACCTTGCATGGGCTGGCGTTAGAAATGTTACTTCATTTGTTAACAAACAGTATAAGAAGATTGAACTCTTGACTGAATTAAATCCTGCTTCCTACATAATGTTTCATTAGATCATTATTGAACAAAGCAACCTAAAATGAACGAATACGGCAATGTTCACGTGTGTTAAATACGAACCGCATTTCAAGAGTCAGATCATGTTAAGAAAGTGCAAAATGTATTTCAAACAAATCATGCACTCTCAAGCTTAAAGTGGAAACGTCAAAAGAAGCTATATGTACTCACCTCCTTGCCAGAAAAGCTCCTTCGAGACAAATGTATCTTAGTCCATGGAGAGTGGTTGACTGGGAGAAATCCATCAGTACATCCCTCAGTGACGGGCGATCGTTTGGGCGGGGCTTGACCTCTGTCCTCAGCGGATCCCCGGACCCAACCTGCTTCTCCCCTGGGGGACCGCCTGGCTGTTTTTCCCCCATTCCGTTCACCCTACCGTCCTGCGGCCTGTTGAGAAAGAAAGAGCGTTCCTCCATCAAAATAGTCTCCATGCGGGGGAGAGGAAGAGGTATCCTGGTTTCTGGGCAGGGCCAACGGCGGAGTTACTCGTTAGAGAACGCTGACTGCCACAGCCGTTCACGACGCAGGAGCGTCTGACAAGCAGACTATCCCTGGAACCACACTTATTTAACAACTCCGCTGGATCCAATGTGAACCACACAGAGAGGCGTATCTTTGAAAGCACTCGGAACGATTAGTCGTTTTCGTACCTATGCAAGGTCGCTGATAAACTTTATCGGTAATGTTTTCAAGTCAAATAATACGTTCAATATCTCAGGAATCCTTGATTCCAGTATGGAAATGATAACAGCGGGGAATATTTATCCACAACTGGTCACCTACACCAGTTCCAGTGTAAGTGTTTAGTCAAACTAAGGGACACGCGTCAATCAATTTTCTTGATCACTGAAATACATATGCAAATGAGTACTTGTTCCCTAACGCAGTTCCAATGGATTTTCATCTAGTTAGCGGTGACCGGCTGTTGCGGATAAGTAAAAACCGTAGTGACTCAGTGTGTGTTCAAACTTATTCAGCGGTCTGGACGTGAGTGAAGATTTCAGTGTTGTGGCTAACCAGGCTTCTACAATCACTGGGGACGTCATCCTTGACAATAGGCCTTAATTAGACTCATGTGTTTCCATACATCGAACACTGCAGCTGCTTGTCAAGGTTGTCGACTGAAACAAACTTTACGATCTGGGACTTGACGCATCACTTACCCTCAGTGTGTCGAAATTAATATTACAGTTAGACTCCGAGCTCAGTTGTTCAGAATTTTCAATGGGTATTGCAATATTTATCAGCTGTTTATATTTATAATACATGCGAGAGCTGACCGGCGGGACTGCAGAACAACTTACATATGTAAAATGCCTCTGATTCATTTAGCTAAAAATATATAAAAGGGTCTCCTCTCATTCGTAAGACATCCCAGTTGTGAGACACCTTAAAACAACAATGTCATACCTGGTTGCACATGTTAATCAGGCCCCTATCATGAAAATGGACTTGTCTTATTATAGACAAAAGACATGACTCAAGATGCTTGATACCCTCTTTTACTTTATTTCATTCAACATTTTTATTCATCCATCCCTTAAATCCATTGCTTTAACATATTCGCCACTTAGAGTTCAGTTAAAGTTAATATCACAGTTCACATCACAGTACATCAGCGACTGTGATTTGGCTCAAGGGTATAGGTTATAATTAACTGCTGTGTTAAACGCCGATTATTGGCTGTTGAGGACGTATGTGACATGATTAAATTATTTGGTGGTAATCGCAGGAGATTGTTAGAGAATTAAATGGAACTGATTAGTCATAGTTACGATTATTAACGATTTAATCCATGCATTAGCATGACGAGTCTTGTAGATGAACTTCTTACACGACATGAAAGAACAGTATTTCTCAAATTTATTAATGATATGAAATAAATGTGAAATCCGAGGTCCATTTTATAATATTTGAAATATACGTATTACTTGGCACCAAATTTGCATATATACGCGGGTCTAAAATTACACAAACTCCAAATGACTGCACATATATAACAAAAGTAACTACACTAGCGTACGCAATAATCGAAAATACGGTCAATATATGACGCAGATTTCAGCACCAATGAAATCTAGTGTGACCGGTTTACCTCCCACATAACTAACTGGTCCTACGTAAATGGACATTTGACAAGACAAGATATTGACAAGAAATGGCATTTATTGGAATGGTTCGGTCACATACCGGGGTTATATTACCTGTGTTGGTTCGCCAGTGCACAGCAAACACTTCAATCATATAATTAGGTAATTACTAACACTAAGCGAGGAAATGTATTTTTCTGGTACAACAACCCACGGATGTTTCCTATGTGTAGCAGGGCAGTGAATGTATAGGAGACAAACACGGTACGGGTGTGAGACGTTTTATTTCGTCAATGGAAGATTATATAGTGTATACACCCTTGTGACTGGGGTATCTTCCCGACCACAGTGCCGCAACTTATTATTCCGGATATCTGACGGTTTTACTTGGCAACTTGTCTGTGTAATGAATGTGTGCGACTGAGAACATGCAGTGAGACAAAGGGTTAACTAAGAGGGTAAGCTTGGCCAATCAGATGAGCACGTCATGGCTTGGGTTTGTTAAGGCTAACAACATGAAGGACACATGGACTACATTTAATCTATCCCAACCACCAATTATACATAAATGTTGAACACTGAAAAGCAGACAGTGTAGAATAATAAAATAAATATGTACAATAGTTTCATCTGTCACACATGGATGATACGTGTTTGCAGACCCGCACTTTAACGCATCATTGAATTGAATTGCTGTCTATTTTCAACTAATAAATGCATGAACAGTAGAAAAATGTTAAGGTTTGGAATATCATGGGAAACTTGCAAGGCGCATGACACACCGACATATGTCAAGGGTATATATTTTTTCTACACACGTAATTAATAACTCTACAGTTGTGATATGAACATATACTGATATACATTCTTTAAAAAAATTATAAGCAAATTCAGGGTTTTCAATTTTTATTTAGGAGGATAAATAGTATCTCTAATCCTGATTTGTGTTTACATGGGGAATCCATAGCCATGCACAATCTTCTGGGACAAGATATGTCATCACAACGACACAACATATGCAAGATTTTGAAATTTTGGGTGACGTTCATAATTAAAATGTATGTGAACGGCAATGCCTACATTTGACTGAATACTGTTACAAGCCGGGATGTTGCAATCTTTGACTTATCATTCCTTGTAACTACAGATAATATTATGCTCATGAAGACAAGCTGTGTTTTATTTCTGACAACATGAGCAAACCCGCATCTGAAACCAACACTTTTAGAATACCACATGCGTAAGTTCTCATACGAGATATGTCATTATACGCGAATTAGTAACATGTACGTCACCGTAAGAATGTGAGAAACTTTGTCTCAAGCTATTCTCTAGGTCACAATCACCAGCATGTACATGTATTTCCTGATTACGAAAGGATCTATGTACAATAAGGATCGTATTCCTAAGAATAAATTATCACATAGGAATGTTTTTCGTCCAGATGGCGTTTACACATTAGGTGTTTTCTGTCCAACTCAACTACACGTCGCATGATGATCGTCTGATCACCTTGCTTTGCACATCGCAGAAAAAATACCCTTATATTCTTATCTTCCATTGCATACACATCCTGTGTTTGAACAAAAATGGTTATTTGTCATTGTCCATAAAATATCAAAAGAGCAATAAGATATATATGTAACTAAAGGAAACTACCCCTTGCTTGTATTTAACTAACCATTTCCAGAACCAAATACACCTGAACCTAAAAGTGCAACTTAACTCATCGCAAAGTAAAAACCTTATTGCGTAGTGCAGCCACTGAAGTTAGGATTTAAGTAGCACTATGTTGGTAATTGTAATGATACTACATATATTATGTAGTAGATAATTGGCTCGCTAAAGGTAATGTGCAATATCAGGAATGAGGTCTTCTGTGACTCTACATGTGATTTACGCATCGCTGTTCCATTCGCTACGTCAGTGGCAGTAACATATAAATCGATTTTTACAACCATAAATAGTTCCTATTCCCCGAAACGATATATATGGTAAGATTGAATGCAAGACGTTGGGCTGAGTGTGAGTTGGGACCCAACGCCTCTTTGAAAGGTAGTTCAGCCTTCCTTGAGATATTCGTCATTATTGAAACCTTCACCTGAATGTGGTAAAAACCAATTTACAAAGCAATAAGTTTAACAAGGGAGAACCTGAGTTCCGATCCATGACCACAGGGCTGTGACACGCCCAAGGGACCAAACTCGAATATGACACGCATGAAGATGTGCATTTTAAAATCTTTCGGCGACATGCCTTATCAAAACGTCAAAGGCTTAGCTATATTATTATTCCTATTCCGTTTATGGCACGTTAAAACCAAACAAAATAGAGAACAAAAATATAAGAGGTCATTACTGCGTGAAACCCTGCATTTGAGATCAATAAAGCAGATGTCAGTCGACTTGTTCAAGTCAACCACCCACCGTCACTTCTACAGCGTAATTTCCATATCCAATAGAAAGCTCGGCATAAAACAGAGTCGATTTTGCGATTCCGACTATGTCATGAGCATATGTTTATGAATCACTATCAAATAGTAATGATACCAGGTGTTCGCGAAAAGGTGAGCTTATTCTGCCCCAACGGTGGCACTCGTCCCAAACACATGCAAAGGCAAGACAATTGTTCACCTAAAAAAAACACGGTAACATATGGTACAAGTCAAAATAGGGAATTGCAGCGGACATTATTTGTATCACTAATGCGTTTAATTTGGAAATATCCTCCACATGTCTACCATAAAACATTTTGAACGCTTTACCGAGGCCTTGAATGCTGTGACCTTGATCACACGATTCTGACGCTATTTAAAATCTTGGTAGGAAGAGCATGCTCAATTATACCTTTAAAATTGTGAAATGTAGACACCAAGGGCGGCTGGAGCTGCAGTAATATCGTTCCACGTAAAGGGAAAGTTGAAGTCTTTCCTCTTGTTATACAGTCTTGTGGAGAGTGTTTCATTTCCCTCAATCTTTATACATAGATCCAAATATAAACAGACGAGACGGTCTCACTGGTCTCTTTAATTTCCAGTTCAGATGGGACAATCAGTGGAAGGGAACTGGCTATTTGATGGTTATTGAACGATATCAGAACGTCGATATACCTAAAGTTTAAGTTAATCGTCTTTATTCATATGCATCAAGAAATAGATCAGCAAGAAGGGAAGCACACTTGGTGCCCATGGGGATACCTACTTCTTGTCTGAATGTCTCATCCTAATTTTGACATAGATGTTATCAATGAGGAAGTACAGCATTTGGCATAGTGTTTTCTTAGTGAAATTCAGATAGC